AGTACATAAGTTTAATATGAATGCCTTCTCCCTTTCCCATTCAGTAGATATTACTGTGATGACCCAGGTTAATTTTATTCAGACAGAAGGACAGTCTGACATACAAATGTACATATTTTTATATGAATTGTATGGGTAAAATTGGACCAGTGGTTCTGGAGAAGTAAAAAATGTAAAAAAATTTCAGGCAAACAGATGGACGACATGTCACGACAGACGTTATATGATAAGGAAACCAGAAAAGCTCAAATGAGTGTTTTGAAAGGGTTACAATATGGTTGCAGTATTTGAAGAGCTTTTTTTTTTTCATGCAGAGATATGCATGACCAACATATTCATGTTTTATATTTTCTTTAGTAATTTGTTTGTTTGTTGTGAATACATCTCTCTCGGGAATTTTTCCCTCATATGGAGACACCACCAAATAATAATGAAGACAAGATGTGTTTGTGAAACACTGATGTCCCTGTATGGAAGCCTATTGCGAAGGTTGAAGTTTCTCAAATATATGTCAAACTCAAAAGTCAAGGTCAAAGGGTTCAAATTGTTGGTATCAGAAAAAAGTCTTGTCACAAGGAATGCACATGTGAAATAAGAAATCCCTAGTACTTCCTGTTCAAAAGTTAATTGCTAAGGTTATATAATTTTTTAAGTGGTTCAAACTCTACGGTCAAGGTCAAACATATTTATACTTGTTGACAGTTCACAATGAATACGCATTAAAGCCCTAGCACCTACTGATCAAAATTAAGGCTAAGTTTAAAGTTGGGTATTTTTCTTGTAAAAATGTGTATTCTAGGTCAAGTGATCAGAGGTAAAAATTAATGTTACCCAAATAAAAGGTCTTAATTGTCACAAGAAATAAACCTATAAAATGCGGAAGCCATTTGTATAGCCCATCCCTTAAAACTTATGGGCAAGGTTATAATTTCTGCAGACAAATAGACAGACATAATTCTAGAGCCGAGCAAAGCAACGAGTAGGTCTTCCGTCCTGTTTGACCGAGAGAAACTTTCATTTGAAAAAAAAAGAGTAATGAAGTCGAAAAATGGTTTAATCCTCCAAATCTATGTTCATTTTTGCAAAATCAAGCTATTTTTGGCAACTTCCCGTTTGACCGGAAGTACCGTCGACGGACGGAAAATTAAGATTTAAGCTTCCAGTGACATATGCTATCCAAAAACCTGTCAAGAACAACAAAAATATGCAATTTTTAACTACTTCCGGTTTGACCGGAAGTGACGTCCCCGGACATATTTTGACAACCTCATTAAATAAACCTTGACATTTTGGACAACTTTGCTTTTTTGACGTATTATAAATTCTAAATACTTTTCGAGATATTAAACAAAAACTTTCAAGGGTCCTAGATCCCTAATTTTAGGGGCCAGACCCTTTTTAATGATATCAAATGAAAGCGCTTGTAATTATGCCAAACTTTTATTCTACATGTCTTAACAAAATATTTTTAGTTTTCAAGATAGAAAGGAAAATATCTGTAAATTTTCGCTCTTTAAGGCGTTCTAATTTTTGACCCCTATATAGCGCCATTTGAATGCAGAAATCGAAAAACAAAAACCGATGTGCACAACTTCAATCCTTCTGTTATCTAAAACAAGTAAAATTTCTGCTCCAGCTTTTGTGATCTCTGAGCCTTTATCCGGAAACGAAAGCTTATGATTTTTTGTTTAAAGGGGAATAACTCAAAACCGGAAGTGACTTTTTGAAATTTCAGTCATCATTCTGATAGAGTTTATAAACATCTATAACCTCTGAAAAATTGAGCGAAATCTGTTGAGAAATGAGTAAGATATGAGGCCTCAAAGTTGGCGTCTAGGAAGTAGAAGAAAAAAAAAGAATAATAATCACTAGAGCTGAGCTTGTTCCATATATCTCGGCATTCATTAAAAAAGATATTATGTGTTTAAATAATGTGTTTGTATGAATGATCAAGCATCATAAGTATTATGTGTTTCAAACACTTATTTTCAAAATATAAAGCAAATGTTTATAAACTGGTATAAATACAATATCAAGTAAAATATGTAAAATATACAAATGAAATTTGACTTTATTTTTTGAAATTTTAGAAATAAGAAATTTTCAATATCAAAACAAAAATTTAATTACCTGTTCATTGGTGTCCTTACATATTAATTGGCCTTCGTAGTTCATGGTGGGCTTAGCAAGTGGGTATTCACAGATGAAAGTATTGTTGCATATGGTGCCAGCACCCTAAAAATTCAATGTGAAAGTGGTACATGTACACACTGGCTGACTGGTACACACATACTGAAAACAACTATCCATTATTATGGCAACTTTGATTTTACTTTAAACTTTCGAGTGATTGTCAAAAGCATCAAATTTCAAAAGCAACACAAAATTGGCTGAACAATACGAAATACGCACACTGAAATATGAAGATCTAGTACATGTGTACATTTAGTTTTCTTTAGAACGTGAACTAAGTGCGTTTTAAATTAAACTATTCAGGCAATATACACGTATTCTCACCTGCTAATACCAAAGGCATGTCCATATTATTTGATTCATTGATGTGATGATCTTCGTCGTGAAATAATCATGAAAATTGACGTTCAGATTTCGGATCGCCATCATGTTGTTTACTGCTGCCATAGCGGAAACACGTGGTTGTTTCAATTCGTATCAACTCATACAGTGATGAGTCGTATTTATTTATAAATGCGAGTTTTTGTATTGTTAAATTTCGTGCCAATATAGATCTAATTAAATTGCAAATTTAGAATACAGTATAACAAGATACAATAATATTAAAAATCTTATTTTTTTTTTAGTAAAGATCGGCGTTTAGGGAATCTACAATTTTTATCAACATTGTATATCACTACATGAAATATATACATCATTACATGTAGATGAATAAATTAACATTTCACTTCACACAAAAGGCAGAACGATAGTATATATTTGTTTTTTGAATTTTTTTTTTTTTTTTTTTTTTTGTATTATACATTTATTTCAGTAAAAAATATATCTAAATGGTCAAAAAAGTCTTATAAAAGAATTTGTTGTTTCGAGTTAGACACAACAATATCGACCTTGACGTTACATGTAAATATTGACCGATTTTTCCATAAAAACTATGCGAAGGTCACAAATTCAAATTATCGTAATTAAGAAAATACTGAGCGTAAGAAGGCCTGTAAGTGCTTGTTGGAAAGGAAATTTTCTCTACTTTTACCAGCTTTATTTTGTTTTCCCTATTTCAATACAGAAATAAACGTAAAACTGAGCTTTGTTTAAAAATTACGAATAAAATCGAGAAAAAACACATAAGTGCAAGAAAATTCTTGTTTTTAAAACATACTTTAAAGTAATAACAATAATTTTTACATATTTTAAAAGCAGAGAAAATATGATTTAAGAATATATCATACTTTCTTTAAAAAGTTGATCAGGAAAAAAATGTCAATCGTCTGGAAAATCGGCAATTGCTTTGGAAAATTACGCCATTTTCAAAAAGTCACGTTTGTCTTCACAACGTAAAATCGATTAAATACCGGCAATCAAGACAAAATCTTTTTAGATATTTTAAAAGTAGAGAAAATTTTCAAAAAGATGATATATAGTTTATTTACCTTCATGCTACCATAAAATAAATACGGAGATCTTATTTTCGCGAAGTCATGTTTTAACGCGCCACCGGTCAATTTGACCGGTACGGAAGTGAAGGGGTTAAATTAGTATCACGTTATTATATCCATGGTAATCATAAAAAATATACTTTATGTAGAAAAACGAATGCTAAAGGTACTTGAATAACCAGTTAGTTTAGCCCATTAAGCAAAAACTGGGGGCCAAGTACAGCTGTAGTGTACTTTGTAAATAAAAAGTTTTTTAGGCCAGTGTGCAACTTATTACCATGGCAACCCAAGAATTAGTTACTCTATGGAATCTTTTCATCAACAGAGGTATTTTGATATATACTACTTGTATCTATTTGTTTCTTTTTTTCATTCAGAACGCCTTTTTTTGGAAAATATTATTTCAACTTCAAAAATAAATGACTGTATGTTAAAAGGTAAAGTGGTTACAAAATTGGTTGCTAGGTTTTCAGAAATGTTGCCATGGGTTAACAAAGTAAAATTTACTTATTTCAAACCCATATTAAATGGACAATTTGCCTAATTACAATTTTGAGAATAAATGTCGATTTATTTCAAATATAATATTTTAAAAGGGCGAAAAAATAACTGTTTTTTGCATTGCTGCTAGGGAAAAATTCCTGTTGCCATGGAGATTAATGATTATAAATTATTTTTTCTTTTTAAAATTATATGAGAGTTATTTTCTATTACTTGAAAAATTGTGTCTGCCACAAAAGATAAAAATTCATAAGATTTTGACCCAACCCTTTACCATTTTTCACGTTTTAGTTATCAAAACATCAAATTTTGTTGCTAGGCAACGAATAGGATTTTTCAAAAAACCCACGCTTTCAAAGTCAATCTGTAAAAGAGAAAGTTCTCTACTTTTATGTGAAAGTCATGCAAAATCTGTATTAGCTTGGTATTTTTCTTAAATTGACCTTGAATATTGTCAAAATCAAGGAAAATGCTGAATCAGCAAAAAAGCAAAAACATACATATATCCTGATGTCTACCATAGTACTAGCTTCAAATAAAATATCAATGTCTTGTGTGTAATAAACAAGTAAAGTAAGTGTCTTTATCATACCAGTAAATGAGAATTATTGTTAAAGTTTTTATATATAATTTCAAGCTTTAAATATCAGTGATTTTCAGTGCGTTCAAATAGAAAAATTGGCTGGTTGCTAAGGAAATTACTTTGATCAGGTTTCCATAGTAACCATGATCCAAAACATTTTTTATTTTACATACATGGAACATAGGTCAAGAGAAATCTATGTATGGAAAATCATTGAATTCTGAGAACCTGAGTGTATCACTCAAATATCACTTTTGCATGATTTTTACACGGACTGGTACTTAACTCTTTACAACTTATTGAATTATTCTGCAACATGCACTAAATGTTCACGTCATAGAAATATGACGTTACCAATTTCCCTCAAGCACTTATAGCGTGGTGAAACTTTCTCTAAAGTTAAGCCTAAATAAATCTTTAAAATATTTTAATAAGAAAACAACTTTTCTTATCTTATGATATTTAAGCAAGTATAAAATAGATGGGATTTGGCAATAAATTGAAGTTTAAATGAATTCATTATAGTTGGTAAACATGCTTGATTGCGGAGAAAGGGTATATGCGTGATTTTGCAGTAGAAATAGAAATAGAAAATGCGTTAATGTGGGAAAGTAGGTTAAAATTTTTTCAAATTTATGATATTGTGAAAATGCTATTCTATCTAGTAAAAAATAACAATTTAATTTGGGTGTAACGCGAAATTTGATTGGATAAAAAATTAATCTAACTTGTATAATCTGGTTTGCTTACGTCACAATGACTTCCGTCATTATCGTATCAATGCACTTGACGTTACGTTCCAAATATGGACAATTTGAAGGCATTTTAAAGAGGGAAATTGTTTTCTCTTATATTCTTAATGATTGAAAATTAAATTATAAGGAACGGAGTAAATAGAAACCCAAATTATATTGCTATAACCTGAGTTTGAACAGTTAACTCTTTTTTATAAAGCGTTAACTTCCCCAACCCAGGTTATACAGTATAATTTGGGTTGCTATATGATTCATTCCTAAAATATATACTGTCAGATTTTTATTATCTTCATGTAAATTAGGCTGGAATAGAAATTAGTCAAATTTCATTCAGCGCCATTTGCCGTGGGCTTCATCAAATTGATTTATTATTATTTATAACAGTTTTAAAATTTAAGATTAATAAACTATTTTAAAAAGAGTAGCTAGAATTAGTGGTTGAGCTAAAAAGAGAAAAAAGGGAAGGGCAGAACAATCGATAAAGAGAGAGAGAGAGAGAGAGAGAGAGATAGGGGAGGGAGAGAAAGATAGAGAGATCTAACTGTCCACGCTCCACCTTCTGTCACCATGTCACAGTACACTATAATCTGTATGAGACAGAGAGAGAGAGAGAGAGAGGGGAGAGAAAAATAGAAAGATCTTACTGTCCACCCTCCACCTTCTGTCACCATGTCACAGAAGACGCTGACCTTGTTTTCAATACCAAATGGATATATCTCATAACCACCAGATTCTGTATTACCATGGATATAGAGGTCATTACAATCATTATATAACTCTGAAAGAAAAAAAAAGAATAAATATGTTAAAATAATAATTGTTATATAAAACAACTTTGAGAGATAGAGAGTTACCTGACTTGATGGTTTGCAGTATATTGCTCTTCCAATCTTCGTGGATGTTGGTTTCATTTTTCTTTAGGATGTTAACCATCTCATTTAATTGTTCTTGAAGGTTCTTTTGATTAGCGGTAATCTGCGTATTTTCACGTCTTAAGGAATCAATTTGTTTCGCGATCTCATGTCTGAAGGACTCAATTTGTCTCGCGTTTTCTTGTTTTAAGTACTCAACCTTTTCATCAAATGTCTGTGTCGTCTGATCATTACGGACGCAATCATTTTTGTCATTGAAATAAATTTGCTGAGAACTAGCGGCACAAAAGAACAAACTGCACACAAAGGAAGATGACCAAACTCCTGCCATGGCTTTACTTGTGCGCTGTATGAAAATAAGCGTCTCTTTAAAGATCCACAGTTTATATATCCTTAAATGGGAAGTTAAAAATTTCCCCTATATTTCGCTACCGCAACACTTAAAGCTCAGCAGTGAACTTTAATGAACAGTCAAAAAATAATAAAAGATTCAGGATAAATAGGTCATAGGTAAAATTCAGAGTAATCCTGGTAGTTGATAGCATCATAAAACATTATTTTGTATATACCAATTTAAAAACTAAAAATAGACACATTGTCTTTGAATCAGTTATTTTTAACTGATAGATATGAAAAAAAACAATACTTCATAGGATTTTGTATATATTTATCTTCATTACTTTAATCAGTTAAAAGTACAATTACTACACATTTTTATTTTGTTAATGTTTATTTTAAGATTAGTATTAATTCCAATTTATATTCACAAGACGAAAGACCACCTTTAAGCAATCGCTTAATGGTAGCTTAATGGTGACTTAATGGTGCTTAAAGAAAATAACTACATTAAGCCACCATTAAGCTACCATTAAGCTGCAACTTACAGGTGCTTAATGTCAAAACTATATTAAGCAACCATTAAGCAACCTTTAAGCCGAGCTAAATGGCGACTTAATGGTCAAACATCATTAAACTTTAACGTTTTACGCATTTTATATCGAATCTTTGATCTAACTTTTTAAGTTATTTCAATGTCTTTTACGCAAAATCTATTTTTTTGTGATTTATAATTTTTTCTCGATCGTTATTTTTATATAACATTTCTGTAAAACATGCAAAATCTCGGGCACTGAGAATAAAACTAGCTAACAGGGGCTTGCTCCCGGTTTCTAATATTTTTTCAATCATTTACAGTAACAATAAAAAAAAAGTTTTATCTTATTACAACATATTATTTTTTTTCTTTTTTGAATAAATAATCATAACATACGTTGTTTTTATTAGTTGTGTAATGTGTACATGATTTTTGTTTTAAAAGATAAATAATTATATTATTACACGCCTTGGACAACCCCCTGTTAATTAATTTCTCACTACCGAAAATCAATTTCTTCTTAAAATTATCTTTATCCATAAACACAAAATATATATTACTGTTTTTTTCTTTTTTTTTAAAGAGATGGTATTTTTGCTTCATGCGTTAAAAGAACATATTCCGCTACATAATTTCAAGAATTATAAAGTCATGTTCTCATGATAAAAAGATTTTTTTTTGCAGGGGGGTGGGGGTGGTGGCTGGGGCCACAGGTATAAAAAATGTTTAGTTTTCAAAGTTTGACTTTTACATCTTGAATAATTTGTATTTCTAGACGGTCTCCAATCATTGTTATTTCAAAATCGATTTTCAGAGGAACAGCCAATCAGATTAAAAAAGACATCCGAAAGATTTATTCACATTGGAAAACGGGGTAAGATTAACAGTGTACAGTACTGACTGGTTAAACAATAGACCTTAATAAGGTGCCCACCGTCCCCGGTCAACTAACAGGAAACAGATTTTGTTGATCAATAATTTTTTTCAAAATTTAAATTTAACGCAAGCATATAACAAATTAAAAATTATGATTCATTGTAAACTGACAATTATTTTGATACCCATTATTATACAAAAAGAATTTTAACTGAATATGATATTCGAAAAAAGTTTTTGTAAACATAACCATGCAGGTTACTCTTAAACGAGGATTATCACTACAAAAACCGTTAACATCCGCAGAATGCTTTATCATTAAAAAAAATTCATCTGTCTTTCCTGATGATAGATTTTTTGTGTTTTATCTATTATTAATTTAATTTCAATCATGATTTAATGCTTACACTATGAATCTTCGAATAACAGAACGAAGAATTCATTACTATTTAAAAGCCGAACTCAACGGTTTAGAAATATTAATTTGATATAAGCCTTTTAAAAAGATCCATAAAAAATGTTTATTGTTTGATTAATAAATCAATTCAAGACTTTAGAGAAATAAATACAAGTCCAAAACAAACTTTGTGCAAAATATATGTTGAACATTTTCCGATATATGTCAAAAGCGGAATTTGTTTCATGGTTAAGGTGACTGCCATCTACTCAAAGGGTTATGAGTTCGCGCCCCGTGTGTGGTGTTTTTTTTTTCATTTTTTTAAATTTTGAATTTTGTTCTTTTCCTTATTTTTACCAAATCAAGATATGTGTGAACTCGACATTTATAATTTGTGATGACAAATCACTATAATAATACTTTTTCACCAATAAAAGCAGTAATATCGACTGCTTAATGGTAGCTTAATGGAGTTTGGACAGTAAGCACCTGAAAGTCTAGCTTAATGGTGACTTAATGGTGGTCTGAACGTTACCATTGAGGACCTTTAAGCCACCATTAAGCCACGATTAAGCTACCATTAAGCTACATTTGAGCACCAATTAAAAACTTTGAGGTGGCTTAATGGTACTCCAGCATGCTAGAGGTTCACGGCGAGATACTTTTGACTTGGCGCCGCGTAACCTCTAGCATCCATTGTAAAAATTCTCGCCGCTGAAACCCCAAGTGGAAATAAATTATTTTATTAAGAAATAAGGTTTTGTATATTAACGAATGGTACGAAATAATAAAATACTCAATATTTACGATAAAACTTACGCATAAAACACTGTTAATCTCTCGTATTAGCAATAAATCCATTATTTTTTAAATCGAAGCAGAGATTGAAACAAGTCGTCTGTTTAAAATTCAGAAATGGAATTCAGAAAATCTGACGAAACGAAACTAGTGCAATGTAACGAAAATTTCGTTTTCTGACAAGCAATCCGCAAAATTAATGTGAAGTCAAATCGAAAGTACTTCTGGTGATAAATTGGAATAATGACAATTTTCATTAATTAACAATAATGCACAATGAATAAAACGGATTTTATTATTTCTTGTGACTTTCATACCCCATGCAAACATGTAGGTACCTGAAAATTATTTGTTAACAGTTTATTTCACGCATAATACGTTCCGCCCAAAATCTTAGGCGGAACGAGCTCGTTAAAAAATGGCCTTCGGATGTAAGAGTCCGAGGTATATAAGGAGCGTAGGGACGTTAACCGAGGCTCTTACTTGTAGGAGTAGCTTAATGGTATCTTTATGGTGATGTAAATGTTACTTAAAGGCGCTTAATGGTGACTTAATGGTGACTTAAAGACAAACATTAAACCACCATTAAGGACCTATAAGCCACCATTAAACAAATCTTAAAGGGTGTGTTTCATCTTGTGATTTTCTTTTCTCTTTTAAAATAATCAATTTAAAACTATTTTTTTTCTTAAAGGCAGAGATTTTTTACCGGGTGGTAAATTCCAGGTGAGGGAGGGGCTTATTCTGTACAGGTGTGAATGCCTTAGGGGCTAGCAGTCTACCTGTGGCCATCTGTCTCCTAATCCCTATACACAGGAAGTGATTTAATACACAGTGAAATACCCAGATGTCAAATTTTACCTGTGTTGGGGATTTTGAGAAATTTTAAATAAAAGTAAAAAGGTTTCCTGCTTTATTTTCCGTCGGAAAAAAATATTATGATATCATGCTATTAATTCAAATATTAATTTATTTTAATCAAAGATTATTTAAGATGTTGGTGTATGTGATAATTAAAAAAAAACTCATGTAACAACCAAATTCGACTAAACTCATTCATCTCTACGATTCTATCTATTAAATAAAAAGAAAGTCATGTTAAGTACATTTCATTAAAAGTTACCTCGGTTTATCCTAATCTTCATAAGTTTTTGTCACCATGAAACATGCAAAAAAGATTGCTTGTAAATTCAAATCTGAATAAAAAAGGACAATATAGTGACCCATGATTAGAAACATTTATAAATATTTCTGAATTTAATTATTTCACACAGTGCTGCTCTGAACTTTATCAATGACATTTCCACTTTAGGTTTACCATAATGATTTTAAAATGGCATATTAAAATCAATATCAAAATTTGATTCGAAAAAAAAGTTTTATTTACAAAGGTTATTTTAAACAAATGCATAATATTTTCATAATCCTTTCAAATACTAAAGGTATACAATGTACATTATCAATCTTACAATTTTCATAGTGATGAAGTTTCTCCAAACCATTGTTCGGTAAACATCAAAGGATTAAAAGTTAATTTGAAGGTCCCCATGAGTCCCATACAAGGTGTACAGGTATACACAGGGATCAGTAAGTAATGTCAATCAAGTTCCAGCATTCAATGATGGACCTTCATGCACTTGATTGACAGGGCTACCCAGACCAAGTATTTTTGAAGGCGTTGCTTAAAATCTCTGCCTTGAAATAGGTCAAACATAAAGGTCAAGGTCATGAAAAGTAACATCATGTATTTAGAATGGTATTGTCACAGGTAAATACTAATACACATGTAAGATGAAAAAGTCCTGTCTCTTCACATTAAAAATATATAACTTTGATAGCCAAGGTTGAATTTATTTTGACAGAATTACAGACTGACATACAGTACCGACCGGACACAACCTAACACCAGAGCAAACCAGAAGAAGACCCCTGGTTTGCTTTTCGGGTTCGCTTGGGGTCCGCTTCGGGTTCGCTTTTCGAAATTTTGGGACCGCTCTTGGTGCTCTCAGGGTTCGATCCGCGTTCGCTGGAGGTCAGTTCTGGGTCCGCTAGAGAAAACCGGCGATCGCTTTCTGGGACCACTTTACGTTCTGATGCGTGAAGCGGATCCCGCAATCTCGCCGCCAGTAAGCCCACCCCTTGTATATTCCAATATAATTTTGGAATCAATTATTGTTATTCATGCAGCGATCGATATATGAACACTGTGCATGTTCATGTAGACAGTGAAATTATGGAGAACATTACATGTAATAAACTCTCCAAATTTCAACCGTACTTAGATTTACGGAATACATGTATAATTGATTTCCTTGATTTCTCCGATCTCGGAATTTCGATCCTGAGAAATTCCAAGTTATCTAAGAGCGGGCCATTAGGCATTTATTTTTTCTTTATTTTTTACGTGAAAACAAAAAAATAGAAGAGGAAGAAAAAGGTGTTGAATTGATTTTCATTGTATGGAATGGTGTACAAGTGAAACTGACGAAAGCATCTAAACAAAATACCTTTCAAATTCATACGTTATAAGTTAAAATGTTTAAATGTTGCCAAGCGCGTGAATTAATTATTATAATTATTATGACATTGTATCTATAAATTAACCTTTTGTACACGTGATATATTAGATATAGATTTCATTTAAATTTGCTACACATGAAAAGTTTGTAATAAATATTCACCGGACATGTTCTTTACAAAAAGAAATAAAATTATGTAAGAATTTTATCTCTCTCAGAAATATGGAGAGAGTATGATTTTAATCAGA